CCCCCCCCCCCAATGTTATGATCTGCACATTCCATCTGCATGAAATAATTGTCACATCCAAAATAGTGAAGAACGTCCAGGTGTACCCCCAGGCTGCGAACCCCATTCTTAGCAGCCAGGGTCACCCCCCAATGTTATGATCTGTACATTCCATCTGCATGAAATAATTGCCAAATCCAAAATAGTGAAGATTAGGAAATATGAATAGATCTTTTGACCATTTTCTAAAAATTGGACAGTCTTAGATGTATAATACAAAAAAGGGAATGATTTTGAAAGATGTAGGCCAGCTTTCCTAACTTGGTCCCAATTGAGTCATGAGCAAAGAGGAGGAAAAAGTTTCCTCTTTTCTGTAAATAGTACTTCTAGCTGCTGGAAGACTTCATATGGCCTTTATTATTTCCGTATCATGCACTTCCTCTTTAAAAGTAGACCAACCCTGCCCCGCCTTGTCTCCTACTCAGGTACCATGAAGAGAACAAAAATATGCTATTTCAGGAGTTCAGATTTGGTCCTGTTTTTATGAGGCTATGTTATGAACTGGACCTCGAAGAGCTTGGCTTGGAACTCATCAAAGACCAGGTAATGTTCAAAACGGTACTTCCCTCTTCCTTTAAAATAGTGAAAGGGTACAGTTTGTTAGGAGTTCTTTCTTACACAACACCTATACAATAATCAGCAGTTCCCAGTGGGTCCCCAGATAATCTTGGACTGAAACCTCTAGAAGTCTTCACCACTAGCTACTTTGGACAGGATTTTTGGGACGTAGTACAAGAACATCTGGGGATCCAAGACTGGGAACCGCTGCAATCAATGAACATTGTGTAAGATCTTCTGGGGATCCAAGACTGGGAACCACTGCAATAAATGAACATTGAGTTTGATTGGAAACAACTGCCATTCATTTTAAGAGGGCTGAATAATTAGTTGACTGATGTTGATATTCCCAATATTTAAGGACATTTAAAATCTTACTGTATATCCCATTAAATCGCTGGCAGTGAACTTGTAGCTCTCCAGATGTTGGACAAGAACTCCCATCCACCCTATTTAGTGGTAGGAAGTGATGGGATTTGCAGTCCAGCAACATCTGGACTGCAAAAGTTTTCTCATGGTTCAGATCTCTTTAGTTCAGGGGTGAAAAATAATTCTCCATCCAGGTGTCATTGGAAAGCAGTTCCCATTATACCTCAATGTGGGATATGCTGGTTGGTTCCTGTGGGGATTTTGGCTCTCCAGATAATGCCCTGCAGCTTCCACCAGTCTTTAAGCCAGCATAGCCAGTGATAGAAATGGGCATTACATTTCAACACCCAGAAAGACACAATTGTCAAACTCTTTAGAGAGTGTTAGTTCTTCAACGACAGCAACCCTTTGCTTACACTTCAGTCTTGGATTTGCTCACACTTTCAAGTCATGAACGGGAAACGTAAGTGTGTAAATGAGTCAACATAACTGGCAAGAACTGTGGGTTTTAGATTCATCTTATCTTCTCCTTGGGATATGAATTCCTTCTATTGCATGCCTGGTTTCCTCTCCTTTTGCACACTTATTGGTTCTTCAGCTCACCAGTACTTTAAGCTCCGGCATAATTTTTGTTTGTGAAGAGTGTAGGAACAGCTTTGTTAATTTTGTGCTCTTTCCCAGTAACTCCTTGATTGTCTTTTGTTTCATTTTGGATTATCACATTTTAGGGTTTTCACTGTATAAATATTGAGAAGTGATTTACCATTGACTTCTTCTGCACAGTACTAGCCAAGCTGTTGCTCAAGTATGACTACAGTAGTCTATGAAAAATGTTCTGCCAGTGCTGCTTTGTACTACTGCTGCTGCCTCTGAATTTTTCTGCCCCATTGAAACTGTCGGTTTTATTCTGTTGATGTAACCATTAATCCTTGAAGAGTATGGATACCTGTTAGCCTGATGTCTCAGCTTTGTCTGTTCCTTTTGGGCTGCCCTGCTAGGAGTCCAGATTCATAGAGGAATCTAACCTCCTGACAGCATTGCTCTCAGTTTCTCTAACATGCTCAGCTCCCTCACCATATTATGGTAGCATCCGAGAGGCAGTGGGACTGTCTCAGCTCTCCTTTGTACTGCAGCACTTACTAATAACTGAAATCGAATTCTGAAGATCAAACAGAGCAACAAATATGATTTTATTTATTCATTCATTTTTTTGACAAATTCTTCTTTAGTGTAGCACCAGGCTTTTGAGGGTTTGCAATACACATCTCTGACCCTTGATTTTTTTCCACAAAATTGTTCTAGCTGTTAAGAATACAACGGTAATTGTGATGTATACATCAGCAATATCAGATAGTTGTTCCAAACCAGTTTCTGTTTGTATTCTCCAGGCTCTCAGTGGCTTCTTTCAAGACAGCACCTCATTCAATATTCTGATGGATATCCTATTTATGAAAGGTCATTATGAAAGTAAGTAATATTTACCACAAAAGGAATACACCGTTTGCAACAAACCTTTCTTCATTATAATAATTGATGTACCACATTTTTCCATTTATAAGAGGCCTCTGTTTATAAGACACACACCTCTTTTCTAAACCAAAAATTTAGAAGTCTTAACTTAGCTTTGAGTATTCAGCCTCTGGACTCAGAACGCTAAGACATTACGAGTCCCTGTTGAATCTGAGCCTACAGGTGTGTTCCAGTTGGTTTGTTCAAGATGTCAATTCCATAAGGTCCATTCTACCACCACTCCACTCAACCCTTGCCCATCTTGGCTAATTGGAAGATCGGCCAGGGGTTTTCACCTGGGTCCAGGAGACTGTGAACACCTCTTTGAGAGAGGGATTAGTCCCTACCAACTTGAAAGAGGACGTAATTTGGCCACTCCTTTAAAAGCTTGACCTGGACCCAAGGCTGGTGTTTAACTACAGTGGTTCCCCGCTTGACGATTACCCTGTTAGACGACGCAATCGCTTGATGATGAGTATTTATCAAATAAGGTATTATTAACACCAAAAATCCAATAATTCTGATGTTTGTATGGGCATTATTAATCAGAAACACTCTTCCATGACGGCTCTCAAAATGGCTCCTCCGCTGACCTCATTTCGCAAGACAGGGAGCGGAAAATGGCCGCCCTGTGGAGGATCTTTGCTGCACGATATCAAATGTGGGTCCTGATGGCAATTTTAGAGTAGTATATTTTAATTGTATTTTAATTGTTTTATCTTTTTTTACTGCATTTAAATTGTTGTAAGCTGCCCAGAGACCTTTGGGTAGTGTGGGAGGCATATACATTAAATAAATAAATAAAAATAAAATAAATAAGGCTGATGATTGGAGGAAGCCTGTTTACAGAGGTAAGGTACGGACAGTTTTGTTCTCTCCTCATCTTACTTCCATATATAAGATGCCCCTCAATTTTTAGTGTAATGATTTTAGGAAAAAGTAGAGTCTTATACACAGAAAAATACAGTAACATTAAGAAGCTGTAGCTGACTCAGAACTATTGGATTTTTTGTGTTAATAATACCTTATTTGATTAATCTTGGCTACTAAAAGACCTCTAACATATTTGTAAATATAATGAAAGGGCATACTTTATTGCAAGGTGGATTTAATTTAATCACAGTTTAAAATTTAAGAATTGGATTCTTTTGACCATTTAAATTTTAAAAAAAACTACAGTATTTTTAAAAATTTAAAACCATAATTTAAATCAATTTGATTTTATAAATCATTGATTTTTATTCACCTTTCTTCATGATATGCTCCTTAAGCACCAATTGTTTTTGGAGGAATGTAATTATACAGCCTGTGATTAGGCCTTTCACAAATTTATTTCTGAAAAATGTTCACCTGCACTTTTCTGTGTTTGGTCTCAATTGTGCAGCTGTTTTCTTCCAGGAGCTTAATCATTATTAAATCTCTCTGGGGGTTTCAAATAGAAGCTGTATCTCCGATCAGCACAGTGCTGAGAGTGGGTGGCAGGGTAATTAGGTTGCACTGAATGTATAATGCAATCCTATACTTATCTACCTGGGATAAAATATATTGGCTGAAATCTAGGAGTAAGTCATAGCTAAAGTAGGCCCATTGGATCATAGGGGATTTGGTGAGTCAACGCCTCTGATCTACTAATTTGATGGGCCTACTCTAGTTGCAACTTGATTTCAGGTTGTCAGCTAAGTATCTGAAGGGTTGCAATTTTACTCTGCTGGAACCTGATAATCTACATGGCCCTTCACTGGATGCAAACTACTCTTCCTGATACATCCACAGTCATTGCATTCGGATGACAGTGTTTAAGCCACAACATACCATTTTGTTATCAAACTTTTCTCAAAACTAAAGGCTAAAAACTTACTACAGTATTTGTTTTCCAATGGAAATGTTTTTCAACAAGTTTCTGTTATCCCAGCCACACAGACAAAACTTCTGTTTAATTGGCATGTTTGCAGCAGTAGGATTGAAACGTGACTTATTGGAAAAGCACCAGATGATAATCCATCTCGTTTGCTGTATCTTTTCTTACAGATTATATCTGTTTTTCAGAACTCAGTATATGTGATTAATTAACAGTTTGGAGTACTTGATTATCGCAAATAAACAAGTAGCACTAATTGATAATCTGTTTGGCAGGTGCTCTGGAAGTACTCTCAGAAATGAAGCGACAAAATATAAAATTCAACAGAGAAACCTATTTGCTTGCATGTGCCATATGCTACAAACTGGTAATAATATGTATTTTTAAAGTTATATGTCTAGAATTTTTTTGTGAATGAGAATAGGCTTGAGCCACAAGACATAAAGGCATGTTCCTCTTAATGTTCTTACTTTCCAATAGTCTATATATATACACACACATATATATACACACACATATATACACACACACACACACACACACAGAGAGAGAGAGAGAGAGTATTACAAATAACACAGCAACAGCACAGTGAGAGACAACCGGCACAAGGATGGGCAGGTGGAGGATAAAACCTCAAATGCAGCAATTTTAAAAGTCTGTGTAGCCTCCCCCCAACCAATATACAAAAAGACTTAAAAATGGATTTTCCCTAGATGATGCACACACCAACCCAAAAACCACAACTTCAGAAACCCCGATTCATCTATCTCCCCATCGATTTCCGTAGTGTAACCCTGTCCTATGTTGCTGGACTGATAGCAGTTCAGATAGAACTTGATGAATAGAACAAATGAGAGGTGGATGATATTATCTCATGGTATGAGAGATTAAGGAATAAGTCACGTACATGATGAGACCTACTGAAAAGAAAGATACCGTTCCAGAATTAGTGGATGAAAACAAAGCAGCAGAGAAGTAAGGTGCTCAGAGGCAATTACGGGGTTAAAGAATTCTACAAGATGGAGAAAAAACGGCACAAGTCATAATAGAAAGAGAAGGGAAGAAAATCAAGAATTGCAGTCAAAAAAACACCTGAGTAATCCAAGGTTAAGAACCACCGATCTACAGTTTACATTATGGAAGAGTGTTTCTGATAAATAATGCCTGGTGGTAAATGAAACTTGCACATGACCTTTGCTGCAGCTTCTTCCTCATATCCAAGTTGAAAGAAGCAATGAGACACCTGTGACAACATTCCACCTCGCCTGCGTCATTGGGTTTACCCTGTGATGGAATACCGGGCAGGTTTATCCCACATTTTGACACCTGGGTCTTAAGATGTACTATTTTCCAGGTTCTTCTTGCAATTGATCAGTTTGAGTCTGTGCTAAATGTTGGCCGTCTGGGCAGTATGTATGTTAACCATTTATGGATACCATCCATGCTTCACATACTACCAGGCAAGAGACTTACAGAGTTTTTCCTTTTATGTGATCAGCTGGCTGTACTGTATATATGTCAAATGATGGTTTTTGTGATAGTCTTGGAAATGCCCTAGCTGTTGTGTAGGGCAAAAGAGATGTACAATTGTCCAGTTTCTCAGGTTTTTCGTTATTCTTAGGTAGTGTGGCATGGGTTTTTGCTAAAGCTGTCCCCCCAAAATCCCTGTGCCCAGCATCTAAAAAAAGATAGTCTAAACTGCCATCACCCTTGTGCTAAAATCTTTTTTTCTCTCCACAGAACAGTGCAGAATCTTGCAGGATCTGTGCTACACTGCTTGAAGGCACAGCGCTCAAAGGATTTTCTGTGCCAAGAAGGGGTTACTACTTCGTAGTGGCACTCTTTTTAAAACAGGTGCTAGAATGTTTGCTGTATTATCTTTGTTCTCAGGTGCTGAGCATCCTCAATATCACATGGTCTAGGTGTTGGTGTAGTTGGGTCCTATTCTTCCCATTTGGAGGAAACATCTTTAAAACGTTGATGTTAGAGAAGTATTTGTGATAGTTTGCTTTTCCCTCACAGCATTTTCTTGGGTTGGATAGGGGTTTTTTGTGATGCTGTTTTATAAAAAAAAACAATTAAGAGGAAACCGTCATTACTAGCAAAGGGGCTTGGGAGTAACTATGGGAAGCCTCCCTGTGTAGATAGGAGCAGCTATGTGCTGATGATGGCAAGAGTGGGAGCAAGGCATTATGGGTCTGGTAATTTCCTGGCAGGAACCCTATACGGAACATAATAAGCAGGGAGACGACCAGACCCCAGTTCCCATAAAATTGGACCCTGCCCAGCCTCTTCCTCCTCCTTCATCATGACCAGAAAGAGCCGTTATTTCTTAACTGAAGAAGATTAGAAATGGCTGAAAAGTGATGGCTGAAAGGACTCGGAGGGGTGGGGTGGCTAAAGCCTCCATAAGTGTGGCTGGAGAAATTTGTGCAGCATTCTGAGACTGCAGTCACAGATTCTGGATAGTGCATGCCTAAAGAATTCAGTGTGAAACACTGAAGGCGTGCTACCAGTCAGAGGTGACAACATGGAGCTGCATGTACTCATGGTTTGAGTGATAAAGGAGCTTTCAAAGTTCGTAGCTGAGTTGACTCAGCTTAAAGAAAATTTGAAGCAATGCTTTGTTCATTGACATGACCTGATTATTTGTCTGTCTCTTCCTTCAGGATGATGTTGCAAAAGCTCGCTTGTACTATTCCCAGATCATGGACAGAAGTAGTCAATTGTGTCACAATTTGAATGCAAGTATACCAGATTTTATACATTATCCCACTGCCCCAAATTATCTCAGGAACTGTCATGCTCTGTGTCCCACTAATGTGGGGGGAAAAAAACTATATCATTGTGTGTTTAATCTGTCCAGTGATTTTAGGATTGCTGTTCAAAGAAGCTGCACCGCTAGGGCGTAAAAAGCTATTCCTTTATTACTTTTATCACTTGTAAGTGTTGCAAGTGTTGGAATGTACTGGCAAAGCCTCTGAAACTGATGGAAATCAATGAAATTACATCTTAGAATGTTCTCAAAACTTTCTCTGTTAACACAACATTACATGGCAAATAGAACTACAAGCTATAGAATGCTAATTTCATCTGTCTTTTGACAGAAATGTGAAAGATCAAAATGGAGGTGAAAAATGCTTGCATAATCCCGTAGGTCCAGGAGAGGTCATTTTGACTGAACAATTCAGTGAGGGAACATCCATTGGTGCAAGTAAATGGGATAGAGGCAAAGAGCCCAGATGCAGAGTAGTCCAAGGAATATAGTAGTGCAGTAAATTACCGAGAAGTAGAATCAGAAAGGAACAGTAATTGGAGAACAAGTGGCATCTGACACAGAGCCCTGGAAAAAAAAAAACTAGAACAAAGTCATGGAAGCGATAGGCCAGCAAAATTGGGAGCAACTATGCAAAACTTCACCATAAAGACAGGACCAGCTGTGTGCTAATGACAAGAAGAAGACAGGGCTCATCCTGCTGCCATCAGCAAGGCAATTTTTTAAAAATTATTATCACTATTTAAGAACAAAGCTTACAGCCTTCTTCACTGATCTACCACCACTGCCATATGTGTCATATACCTTCTAGGTCTGTCATAAGGTAAAGGTTCCCCCTGACAATTAATTCAAATTGTGTCTGAATCTAGGGGCTGGTGCTCATCTGTTTGTAAGCTGTTTGCCCATAGACACATTCCATGTCATGTGGCTAGCTTGACTAGGCACGGAACACCGTTACCTTTCCACCAAGGTGGTACCTATTCATCTACTCACCTTTGCATGCCTTCCAATGGCTAGGTTGGTAGGAGGTGGGACAGGCAACAGGAGCTCACCCTGTTGTGCAGATTCGAACTGCCAACCTTTTGATTGCCAAGCCAGTGGCTCAGTGGTTTAACCTGCAGTGCCCCTTATGCCCCCCTCCATCATAATGACATAGACTTTAATAAATATAATTCATAATGGAATTATAGTTTGTTTTACTTTTGTTTATGGGCACCCTCTAAATCCAGGAAATTCATAGCACTCTACAATAATTCCAATTTCAAACCCTTTCATCTTTGTAAATAAATGTCGGTATCAAAGGCCATGATTTCATGCTGCACATGTACTTAAGAATACCTACCATCATGCAGTGTGGATTCTCAAAGTATGTTTAAGATTTAGTTGTATATTCTTACTGAATAATTTAAGCAGAAAGACTCTGCACAGTAAATGTTACACCAACAAGCTTTATTGTTTAAAAGCATAGGTCACCACAATATTAACAGCAACACAAAACTGCAGTAAATTTTACTCTAATATTTCTAGTGGAACCATGGCCCAAAATCCTGTTGGTAGTAAATCACACTAGAGTAGGCCCATTGAATCAATGGAGTATAATCAAGTCAACTTCATAAGTCCCATTGATTCAAGTGTGCTTATTCTAGCAAGGCATATTAGAATTGAGTGGCATGGGGTAAAGTTGGAACTGTACAATAGGATTCCAGGCAATTGGTGACCTCTCATCTTTGTAAGGTTTTCTCTTTTTTATATAAAACATATGGAAGTTTATTCATTGTTTATATGTATTGTTTTAAAGATTCTTCTTCAGGCTGCATCTGGAGACACATACAAACTCATCGAAACATTGGAAAATACTCTAGATTGCAATACTCCACATTTTGTGAGAAAAGTTAAATTCTCTATGGAAGTGGTAAGTAAATAACCGAATACAAAAAGTGTGTTTTGCCTTATGGCAGAATGGTGCCTTTATATGCAAAATAGGAGTCTGGCCCATTCTCCTTTGTCGAAACAGTTTGCCTTACTGCACGGGTCCAGGATTATGCAAAACTTATCTTTTCTAAACTTCTTTTTTGAAAAGCTGGTGTAGTTATTCATGCAGTTTACATCCTGCTTTTCTGCCAATAAATGGACCCAAGACTCCTTTGGTGTGGTCAGTTCCTCCCACCGCCCACCCCAATACTGTTGGACTGCAATTCCCATTCCAGCATTCTTCACTTTGGTTATCTTGTCTAAGGCTGATGGGCATTGCTCTCCAGTAGCATCTGGAAGGACATGCATTCCCCAACCTGGCCTTGAGTTGTAAGGAATGGATGGGATGGTAGTTTTGTATAAATTGCATTGTACTTGTTGTTGGGTATATGCCCTATGGCAGTAGGCAGATTCTTTCTTGCCGAAGAAGCCAGTGTGGGGTAAGGCCTATGTTAAGTTTTGAAACCTTCCCAGCTTCACTTTTCTTCAGGTGAGCCACATTTAGATCTGTGGGCATGTCAGCTGGAATTCCCAGAATGGAGATTTGCAGTTCAAAACATCTGAACATCCCATGATTACTAAGGAGATGGCTACTGCCAAATATAAACCAGGAAGGGATTTTTGTTGCCACAAATTGACATGGATAGCCATGGTACCCTGGTGCAGCAAAAACATTGGGACACCATAACAACTGTTGTTTTGTGTGTGGCCTAAGCTTCTCTGGATTGCAGCCCACTTCACCTGATTAATATGATGAAGTAAGCCCAAGGCCATAAAAACTTATTCCAAAAGAAAAGAAAAAAAGAAAAAACATGGCGGCCATTAAGATGCCACAAGAATTAACATACTAATTGGCCAGAGGTTGCTGACTAAATTGTTGATGGAGCCCCAGTTCCCACAAATTTCCTGTTCTAATTAATGGTTCTGTGATGCATGAAAAGTGGTGATTCAGTCTCTATGTGGTGATCCATTTACTCCAACTCTCTCATAGCTGCAGGTAGTCAGAGAGAAGCTGGACAATTGCCCAGACGTTTGGGACAAGTTTGAAAGTGTCTTTACCAAACTGCAAGAATTGGGACAAATAACGCCTCAGACTCTGGATGACCTATTGTGTTGCACACCGGGACTGAGGAAGCATGACTCTCCATTTTTGAGACAAAGGGAAATGAGACGACGGGCTCAACGTTCTCTCAGTTCTACACTCTTATCTGAGTAGATCCTGCCTCTGGACTGTGACCTTCCCTGTTAGAATTTGTGCTCAATAAAGTATTTTTCATGTTAAGAAAGGTGATTTCCATTTAACCTGTTTTCCTGGATGAAATTTGAGTCTCCAAAGAAGCTCATAAGAATTAAGAATCAATATATACTCAGTAAATAATCTGAAAAGTCCTTGAAAAGTCAAAAGTAGCCAATTTTTAAAGAAGTTTGGTTGACCTCCAGTAGACAGTAGAGCTTGCCACTTCCCATCAAGGGAAATACCCCAGAAGGAGCTATCTGCTTCCCCAACTGTGTTTTTAACTGTAGAGGAGAGAAGAAACACCAGCTTAGTCCTGCCAGAGGGTTGAGAACCAGAAATAGAAATGTCTATCCTAACCCTCCTTTGGTCCTGTTGAACATCTGATTAAATTAGAAGTGGGGAAACTTTGGCCCTCCAGACATGTTTGGGCTTACAACTTCTATCTGTTAAAACATTTTTATTCTGTCCCAAATCTAGATTTCCCACCGAGTTTATAACCAATAAAACTATTAAAAATAAAGTCCAAACAACTAGAAACCAAGTATATATTTTATTTTTTAGAAATGTAGCAGCAAGAAGTCAGAATTATCATCAAATGCTTGGGGAAGTGTTTTAACTTGCCACCTAAAAATGTAGAGCCTGACACCCAACCTACGTACTTAGACAGGTGGTCTATAAATAGTGCCACTCTAGAGAAGGCCCAGTTCCTCAGATGAGGTCACCACTATGATAATTTATTCAATTTATGCTGCATCCTTTCTTCTAGGAGCTTGGAGTAGCTCACAATCTCTGTGTAACTGGTTAAGATCACAAATTAGTAGTATCTAAAATAATACAGCAACAGATCAGTGTATATATATATATATATATTTGAATGGTCATACAAGAGAAGACTGGTAACACCTTGGTTGAAGCAACCACTTGGAATTGCACCAGAAATCCAAAAAAAGCTAGGGAAAACTTTTCTTACCCTCAAAATATGTTTAGGCTGTTGGAGCCTCATGAAGTCTGATGTCCTTATTCTGAATTCATTGATGTTCCTGCATGAGGCAGCTGCATCTACAATGTGTTGGGGTTTTTTTCAAGCACTCCTGTTGCAAAGTTCCCAATGTCTTTGCTAGTAACGGAGAACTCTTGCCATAGACTCATCTGACAATGTCTGAGATTTGGGATGCAATTCCAGTAAAGGAATGCTGACAAGATAGATGCACCTTTGAAATAAGTTCCAACCAGTGTACGTTTATTGACTATAGCAGTAATTAACTGAAGTGCTGACATGGCCTTGTCTTTCTATTGATGATTACAAAAAAAACCTGAAGGAAGAGTACCTAACTGAAGGCTAAGTATTGACACATTTCGATTTTAAGAGCCATTTGCATCTTATGTTTCTATGAAACTGAATACTGATTGCCAGAAACAACATATGTGGGATGGGGAGTCAGAGGTAATGAAACAAAGAACTAGGAGGACATGTACCAGAAGGTGACATTGGGTCTAAAAATAATATACAGCAAAAGAAGAGGTATCAAAGCTGTTTTCCTAAGCACTCATATTTAGAAATGCATTCTGTTGAAGTGAAGGGGACTTCTATCCATGTAGAGATGACAAATCAATTTTAGGCATATGTTTAATGTCTAAACTGCTCACAAAATGACTGACATATTTTTTTTTTATTCTGCTGATTGTGTACAATCCGTTTCATTTGTCTTTTGCATTCAGATTTTATCTCTTGCATTGCATGTGGAGTGGGGAGAGATTGTCATGTTTCCCAGTGTTTCATCTCTGGTCAACTATGGGAGTCATGTCCGTTGATGGCAACATGACAGCTTATTGCCTAAGTGACTGACAATTCTTAGTCTATAAAGACAGAGAAAAACCAATTTATTTTGTACTCCCATCAATTGAACCTACTGCCATCACTCCTCAAGCTGATTCTTTGGGCTTCAGCCTTCAGGTTGGGACTTGGACATTTGCCCAGCATGATTTTTGGACTCTCTTTCTCCACCAGGCCCAAGTTCTCTGCTGCCCAAATCTAAATCTGATCAAGAATTCTGAAGAACTCAATAGCTCTGGGTTTTTGTCAGCTTTTTGAGTGATGTAATTAAAGGATTACTAAGCCTGATTTTTCATTCCACTCCTGTGCTTGCGCACAACTATTTCAATTTTATTTTTATTTATGTATTTGTTTCATGCAATTCACACTTCCCTACTACTGACAAGGGCAGAGGGAAAAAGAATGATCTGCATGAGGATCTACAGAGGAGAAGTTTTGAGAGCCGCCTCTTGCCCCACAAATCCTTTTGGAGACCAGTGAACAAAGAAGATCATGGAGATGTGTGTGTCTCTCTCTGTGTGTGCAGTCATGGCCAAAAATATTGGCACCTTTGCAATTCTGTCAGAAAATGCAACCCTTCTCTCAGAAAATTGTTGCAGTTGCACATGTTTTGGTACTCACACGTTCATTTCTTGGTTTGCGTTGGAACAAAAAAACAAAACAAGAAAAGTCGAATATACAATTCCACACAGAAACCCAAAAACTGGTCAAAATTAATGGCACCCTTAACTTAATATTTGATAGCACCCTCTTTGGAAAAAAATAATTGAAATCAATCGCTTCCTGTAACCACAAATGAGTTTCTTACACCTCTCTACTGGAATTTGGCACACTCTTCTTTTGCAAACTGCTCCAGGGCCTTCAGATTTGAAGGATGCCCTCTCCCAACTGCTGTTTTGAGATCTCTCCACAGGTGTTCTATGAGATTCAGATCTGGACCCATTGCTGGCCATTTCAGAACTCTCCAGCTCTTTGCAAACAAAGTGCTTTTTGAAGTGTGTTTCAGGTCATTCTCTTGCTGGAAGACCCACGACCTCTGGTGGAGATGCAGCTTTCTAACACTGGCTACTACGTTGCGCCCCAAAATTCTTTGGTAATCATCAGATTTTCTAATACTGTTCACCCAGTCAAGGCATCCAGTGCCAGAAGCAGCAAAGCAACCCCAAAACATCTTTGAACCTCCACCATGTTTGACTGTAGGGACTGTGTTCGTTTCTTTAAATTCCTCATTTACTTTTCTATAAACAGTGCCATGATGTCCTTTACCATAAAGCTCTACTTTTGTCTCATCTGTCCACAGTACGTTCTCCCAGAAGGATTGTAGTTTTGTCACATACGTTTTGGCATACTCTAGTCTTGCTTTTTTTATGCCTTTGTGTCAGCAGTGGTGTCCTCCTGGGTCTTCCACCAAATATATATATATGGTGGAAGACCCAGGAGGACACCACTGCTGACACAAAGGCATGAAAAAGCAAGACTAGAGTAAAAAAGTAAGACTAGAGTATATTTATTTATTTGTTTGTTTGTTCGTTTGTTTGATTGATTGATTGATTTTAAAGGGACCATAGCATCCCTTTTCATTCAGATGGCAACGGATAGTGTGAGCTGACACTGTTGTACTCTGTGTCTGCAGATGGCTTGAATTTGTTGGGAAGTTCATCTGGGTTCTGTATCCACCATTTGAACAACCCTTCCTTGTACAGTAATTTTTCAGTAATTTTGCTCTTCCGTCCATGTTCAGGGAGGTTAGCTACAGTGCCATGGACTGTAAACCTCTGGATGTTATTGTGCACAGTGGACACAGGAACATTAAGTTCTCTGGAGACTGACTTGTAGCCTTGAGATTGTTGATGTTTTTCCACATTTTTTCACTTAAATCCACAGAAAACGCTTCACACTTGATTGTTTTCTCCGTGCTCAGTGTCACACACAACACAAAGGTTGAGTCAATTTTTATCCATCTTAACTGGTTGCATGATTGCTATATTGCCCACACCTCTTACTTGTGACAGGTGTGTCTAAATACAAATTAAAGGAGCATCTCATGCTTGAAAAGCAATTATTTCTTACAATTTAGACAGGGTGCCAATAATTTTGGCCAGTGCATTTTTGGGTTTCTGTGTGGGATTGTTTCAGATTTGAGGGTTGCATTTTCTGACAGAATTGCAAAGGTGCCGATATTTTTGGCCATGACTGTATGTGCATTAGCACACAGCTCTCAACCCTTGTTATACTAGTATCACACATTACTCTCTGTCAGGGAGCATCAGAGGAGGGCAAATTCCCCCCCCCCCCAACAAAGAGCTTGTCTTCCCAAGTTGCAAGCAGAAACATTGGATATGTGGAAGAAAGAAGTAACTAAAGAGGCATGCATCTCTGCATTGCTGGGATACACTAGAATCTGTGTTGATTTTTCATGAGCCCCACCCCCACCCCTGGTGTGAACCAGGCTGGAAATTGGTTGCTTATTTTGTTGTATTATGAAATGTACCTTTACTTGTGCCGTTACTATTTTTTTTCAGATATTTTACAATTTTCATCAACTTTACCCATTTTTAAATGGGTCCTTAAAGTCCCATTTGCTCTCCTCTGATTTTTTTTTCCTGTTGCTCCTACTTGGGGTTGAAGAAGGTGTGCATCTTGTCCTGTACAACAATGTTGCTCAAGTCATAATTCTGATGTTATTTTTAAATAAAATTAAATTAGAACCATGTTAAATGTCGGTATCTTCTCCAAGTACAGTACAAGACTGAGCAGCCAGTAGAGGGCCCAATGGATCACACAATGTGAAACGGTGCATCTGGTGTTATTAGATCTGCAAAGACTCCAGTATTACACCGAAGCATCCTAAAGGAACTACACATAAAATAATGCTTAGAATCTTAACTGGGATTTTACTGTTGGAAAAGTCAATCACAAACCACAGAAGTTGGCACAGGAAATTGTCTCTAATTAATGGTATGCCATTCATGCAACTGAGGAAGTGACCAGGCACATGATTGGCACCTGGTTAACTATATGAAAATCATAATGTAACTTATGCAATTTCAGTTATACAGGTGGGAAAAATCCCAACAGGATTCTGGCCAATATGTGTATTTTGTAATTGATACGACACACATTTCTGGCTATTGTGTCCATTTTTTAAAAAACCTGAATCTTCACTCATAGATGAGGCATGATAGGCTTGGGGGGAATTAGCTATACAGGCTGGGGGATGCTGGAAATGGCAATCTGAAAATGCAATTTACCCATGTTCCTGGGGTTCCATAAGCAGGCATCTCCAGGAATATCAGCCTTCTTGAGCCTGTTACTTCTCTAAATCTAACAAGTGACAGCTCTCATCTCCCCATCCAGCATGGTCAAGAATCAAAGATGGTCAGATATAGTACTCCAACCTTTGGAGGAACTCATACTGGAGAAAGTTATCTTAGATCCTCCTTGGAAACAATTTTAAGAAAGGATCAAGAGATATATCGAAAGACTTTATTTGATATACTGTACTTTCCTGAGTGAACAAAATTCTGTAAATTAAGTACTTCCCACAAGGCCTTAATTGGTGCGGGGCACGCTCTCATGTATGTGCGGATGGCACGGGGCACACTTATGTGGTGTGGGGTGCGCTTGTG